ATTCATTGATGAAATATATTTTGTACTAATTTAAACTGAATTTATTTATTATTTAAATAATCGAATAAGGGAATGCAGTAATAACGATAAATATCTTCCTGAAACCCCACATCAATTAATATGCATGTTTTGTGTTCTCTTTACAAGTTTAGTTAATTTTTCTTCATGCAAATACAGGTACTCCATTTTAAAGTATGCTTGAAAGGTCACATGTACTTTAAGAGTTTGACAACACCTTTTTTATTTGTCTAGAACGTCATTTCTGCTTTTTATCCGCTTGTTTTAATTTTTAAGTATTATCGAAGAATTGGTTACTGGTATTAAACGGATTGCACCTGATATAATGAACCAAATGAGCTAATTTTGTTTTGCAAAATAAAGATAAAATTTCGGATTTCTGAAGGAAATAATGATATTTATTTATCTTCTAGACTTTGCATCCTTCCTCAAAGTCTCTTCAAGATAACAATGTTTTGTGTGGACGATAAAGTTCGTATGTAATAATATTATGCACTGAGATAATAATTCGCGTCATTTCCCGCTGATAAGAAATAAAATTTTGTTCAAAAGTTTTTGATTCCCAGTTAAATGTGTACGCTATTTGTTTAAGCATTTTATACCATATTAATCTTAGAGGGAGCTTGTGAGTAATACTGTATACTTCATCATGAATCATGAGTGGTAGTTAAATGCTGCATATAGGAATGCATATTTAGTTATTGCTTGGGTGCTTTCTTAATATTTTCTTCAAAAACTATTAATTTAAATAGACGATGCATGGTTTCAGGTATAACAGTCAGTATCTTCGTTAGTTAAATGATGGATACCTAATACAGTGTCGATTCCTCAAAGTGACAAAAAGTTGAAAGGCCATATCCAGTTGGGCAATTTTCCGAGAAGCACAACTCTGTCAAAAACATATTTTATGGCTCTCTACAAAAACAAAAAAAAAAAAAAAAAAAAAAACAGAACAAAACAAAAACTTGCTGGTCATTATTCAGTGAGATGATTCTTTTGTTTTTATGAACCTGAATGATGGAGTTACGATATGCAAGTTGCCATGAGGACTAACTTCTGAGGTTCAAAAATGAAAAGCTGCATCTAGCGCGCCATATTGTTCGAAAAGTTTCTCATTCTGAAACTCTAATTGGCTAATAAACTCTAAGAGATAATTTGAGAGTTGGTGATTCGTTTAAAATTCAGAGATTCAAAATTAACAGTTGCGCTGGAAGTTATTTAACTCAGTGAAGGTTTGGATTCGGGAACTTTACTTTGAGATACCTCTGCTCCAGATTGCATCGTTAAATATATTCCTTTGGAATAAGATACCTATTCTTTCAAGCCTAGATCGACGAGTTACTTGTTATATGACTCTACAATTTAGTTATCTTCGTTCAACAACTGTAACGTGAATGAAACATGTACATAATACTTATGTGCAGCTCAAAAGAAAGCAATATCAGTTGGTTCAAAACCTTTTTAACGCACATCTGTTTATTTAGGGTATGTATAATTCAATGAAAAACCATAAGTTGTATAAAAGGATCAATATTCTGTAAAGTATAGCTCTGAAGTCTTAAGTGCATAGTTCTATAGCTGATTAAGCTGTGATGGCTAGTTATTCGTATGACTGGAACTTAACTAACAGGACTAGATCACAAAAGTTAAATTAGTAATATTAAAATAGTTATTGGTGAATAATAATGATAAGAAGAAGACGAAGCTATTAATTATATCAAATCCAAAGTAATTACAACTTCTGCTAATTTGAAGGTACTTATAAGTTTCATACTTATCACTTGGCATGTGCAAACAAGTCTTTCAGCTGTTTATACATATACATATCATTATTTTTTTCAATAGTTTCACTAGTTTAAATTTATAAGAGAATAAATAAAACCTTATTTATCGGAAATGTTGGCATGTATCTTCTACTCTTGCTGACGTCTAAAACTGACTGTTCGCTGCTCAGCCTCAATCGGTCATTAACTCAACTCAGAGCTCCTATGCACCTCTATATTCAATCACTTTACTAACTTAATAAATGAGGCTACAAAGGATACTGCAACTTAAAATTTTCATTGATTCCTACACACAGAATAAAACTGTACAACACAACAAATGTTAAGGATCTTTGGGCGATTCCAAGAAAATAATCAGAGTATCTAGGTAGTTTTTGTAATTTATGCTGAACGTCGAGAATGAAAACGTAACATGCAGTTGCTCATCTCCTCAACCTTTCTTTAAACTCTCATCAAGCTTGTTTTTTTATGTTAGTTAGTATCGGAAGACCCATGGTACATCGCTGGTGTCCTCTATACTTTAACTTGTACCAGCACTCGAATTTAGTCAAACTAAACAAACAATTAGAATTACTAGTTTATGTGGCATTAAATTCTAACGACATCTAATTCAGTTTACTGACAATGGGGTTGGATCATTAGTCCGAGCATTATTCTGTCCATTTGTGCGAGATCGGCAGATGTATCAGCGCAATTTTTCTAGGCGTAAATGTAAACTCAGCATCGAATTTGCCGCATTAGGTTAAAGATACGATCATCAAATTCATCAAAATGTTGATGAAATGTGATCTAGCAACTAACCTGTTGTGCATGTACATTAATGTAACATATGTGGAAACATCTGGCACTCAGATAGTTGTACCAACTTAAAGCAAAGCTGCTAAATCATTCTACTGCTAACACCCGTTTGGTTAAAGTGTGACATAATAAATTGTTTACGCATTACTTAAAAACCGAGGGGAAGGAGGAAGCTGTATTATAGAAAGAAATTATTATTTATCATTTTCATACAGATGTGTAATTCACAATTTTAAGTACGGCGTATTTAATTTTCTTACGAATGTATGTATATATTTTTGTTATATATGTATGTACATTCATTCAGTGGCAGTATTTAAAGTATATGTAACTTAAATATTAACCGAATTCATTTTGTTATATTGCATGAGCGCTTTGTATGTTTTTTTTTTCCCTGCGTGAGGAATTAAAGATAATTTTATTTTTATTAGCTATTTTTATAATTTCAAGACATTAAATGTCTACAATAAGTAGCAATACTTAGAGCCAGGAAATTTTGAAGAATAATTGATTTTTAGTGTTTTTTTTTCCTTACGATTCTCGCAAAATCTTTAACATTAACTAAGTAGCTTATCTAATTTGCTTAATGAATGTAAGTAATTCAGCGAAGTTTGGTTTATAATAATTTTCTAAAGATTTAGTTTCTATCTAATTCGTAGACTATTACTTCCTTAGTACATTTATTTATCTTACCATATTCTTTTTATTTTAGCCTTTCTATCCATCTGTATCTTACGTTATGTGTTTTTCTTCTCATTTTTACTATCGCCTCAACACTGATAAGCAAATTCAAACCGTATCTGACCCTTTTTTTTCAATCAAGGTTTTTATCTGTACAGCTTTTAACTCTATTATAGCTTCCTCACCTAATTCCATACCAAGATTATTCAGGTCAGTTTTCTTGTCTTCAACCCCAAATACGATTTTATAACTATAAAATTCTTATTATACTTCAACTTCTGTGCTTAGGAAATGTCAATAACATACTACACTTATAAGAAATGTAACTATATTAGAGTTATTCCTAATATCAGTAAAAGTTAATATACAATTATGATAACGTTGATTTCATTTTTGCTAGCACTAAAAACACTTCCACGTTCATGACAGAGCTCATCGTATTACTAATAGCTCTAAAAATGAATGCCCAAACTGCAGCAGTTCCTAACAGTACGCAGTAATATCCTAGTAAAATATTATGGATGTTGTTCGTTAATAATAATAATAAGTGCAACAATAATAAAAGAATTTGGTAATTTCACAATAGTAATAATGTTGACCGTTTTCTTTAACTGTATTAAAACAGTACATTATAATTCCACCGCTAGTACTGATCTTATTTCAAACAGTAAAATGCACACGCAATTTTATCTTAATTTTTGAGCCCCTAACAGAGTTACTCTGCATCAGTATAACATAAATATTTTATGAAAATTAGTAACACTGTGTAAAGATAATGCATCAAACTTTGATCTAAGAGTTAAGGTATGTACCACGGTTGACGAATTATTTGGAAAAGAAAACTTAAACCGCTATCCTAACGTAACGTGTTCTGCGAAATTTTTGAAATCAAAATGATTCCTCCCCGCCTTTCGAACTATGATCACATTATAAGCATAGTTTGAAATGGGAAGTGCCTACAGGGCCTTCGGTAACAGTATGATCCTCATAAAATTATACACAAGGGAGTTATCGAAAGAGATAATGCGTAGGGTGGAAGAAGAACGGAGTGAATGGTTGCAGGCGAACTAAAAATTATAATCTTTGCAGTGTTGTCATGAATTCTTTAGTACACACTATTTTAAAATAACTGATGTTCGAAAATGTGTTGAATAAAAGCGTCTTTGGGACTGATTATAGACGGTCAAAAATCTGCATCAAACTTTGCGTGGCAGAACGCCAATAGAAATTTGCAACGCTTTGCATGAAATTTGTGGTGATCAGGTAATGGATCGTAAACATAGTATCCTGTTCAGTTACTTGTTTTTGTGAAGGATGCGTCAGTACAGATGGTGACCGAATGCCAGGAATCTCAGAAGCATCAAATGTTTCCTCTTTAGAAGAGGTTTTCTTCAGCGGTTATCTGAGCTATCCGAAAACAAACATGGGACACTACAAGAAATGACAAATCTTCCGAGTGGTTGGAAGACAGTTATATAGATACAGGATTAATACGAGGAAATTGCTTGAAATAAAATAAACGTTTAAAAAAATTAGTATTCATTATGTTTGAGATGATGAAACGATAATTATTACATTACCTTATTTTCCCACAAAAAATATAATAATCCCTCTCAAGAACACTTCAAGTAAATATAACATACCTTTTTCCTTCACAATAAATATAATGAAAACGTATTAGGAAGCTGTTATAAAACTAGACATTATAAATTTACTCACCATTAATATTAATATTTCAGAATATTTTATTCTTATGCTTCGAGTTTAATCTTTTTTTAGAGTCCAAGTAGCAATAAACAGGTCGAAATATGGCCTACAGCCGGTATGGTGGATAAACTTGAGAACGCATTCAGAATGCTAGCCTCTTTCAACATGTTTGCGTTATAGCGAAGTTTTCCCCCTGCTACTTCTGTTTTCCTGTCGATGTTAATATCCCATGTTTTTTAAAGATGCTTTTACTCATCAGAAATTCGCCAGCACTTCTGCCCTTCGTATCTTCTTTTAAAAAAAAAAACTAAAAATGAATATTCCGATTCGCAAATTCTCATTTGGAGGATGTTTTCTATTGCCATTTTTTCCCTCTTTTTTCATTTTAATCGCTTTTTTAGGGGAATGTTAATCAACATCTTTATTTTCCTGAGCATAGCTATTTGTTTTGATCGATCACTGCTGGGGTAATTCTATTCTGTTGCGTAGCAACAAATTGTCAGCCCACGACTATTACAACTGAGAAATCTACTTTGAAAAAGAAGAAAGGGGGAAAACTTTGCTCATGTAGCTAATCAATTAAAAAAACAATGTATTGAATATCTTTAAAATCGGGAAAGAAACTTGTCTCCGTTAAACACTTATTTTCTAAACTTAACTACGAATCTTACAGTAAAACTTCGGAATTAAGCAAATATTTTCTTTTCTGTGTCGCATTGTATTTAAAAGATAGATTTATGTAACAAGGACTTCAGGCGACTGGAGTTATTTATTGATTAATACACATTGCGGCGTGAATTAACTTAGAAAAAAATAACCTTTGTTTAGTTAGCTGATCTACGATAAGTATTTAAAACTATTTTCTAACCTTATATTTTATAGAATTTCTTGTGTATGTGTTTATCTTTCGAAGCATTTTCAACTGGTTAGAAATGAGAGGAGGGAAGTTTTTACGAGATGAAAGTGCAAAACTTCGCTTTTACGCGAGATTTATGCCATTAGACAGAATTAGTCATGAATGATGGTCTAATAGCGCTGCGTTTCGTACTTATTGCAAGGAGTCAATAATATGATATAAACACTTGCGTGAATTTTTTTAATTCAGTTAATGCGATTGCTGACGTCATATCACACTAACCCAGATGTATTCAAAGTGATCTCCTAGAATTCTACGGTAACGTTGCCGGGGGCTCTTCAACTAACTTTATTTATAAAAGTTTTATGTTTTATACTTCTTATTAAATAAGGAATAACGCAAATATAAAAAGTATGTATGGAAGAAGCACGAGATAAACTGAATGTAAAATTAAGGGGGGGGAATGAGATTGTCATAGATTTCGTATAAAACTCCAGGTTTACTTAAAATTACGCTAATCGAAGGATTTCCATCTTAATTTTATATAAAATATTAAATACAGTCAGCTGTAAAACATCAGTTTATATCAAAACTCAATACATTTATAAATACGGTAGATTTTTAATTAACCGGGATAATAGTGGGGATGACGTCCGCAGTTAAAACGTCAGCAGTTGAAAAATGTTAATAATTTACCTGTATTTCTGAGCAGTTTAATTTGAAGAATAAGTTCATTTATTCTACTTAAACCAGTATTAAAAACAAAACCACAGCTCAAAACAGAAAAGCAATGCATTTGTTTACGTTCCTATTGTATCTCAACAGGAGTCAACGGAAAACAGAAGATTGATAGCTGTACACTGAATTTATTTTTGCGATGTAACAATTTATTTTTCATGAATGCTTTAGCAATAATTATATGTTCCATTTTATGTACAAGCATACTGTTGTGGATAAAATCAGTTCCAAATACTGTGACATGATCTGATAACACTGCTATTATCTTATGCAATTTTTTCTTCTTTTTGCATTTTCCATAAAAATTTTACTTTAGATTAAGGTATTTTGTGATAGCAGTTTTTTCATCATTCCGCAATAAACACATATGAGGTATTCTTTTCCTTCTTGCTGCGTGCCTTCGGGATGTAATTAGAACCACGCCGGACTAGCAGTCGGGAGGTCTGGAGTTCGAATCCCGGCGAGATCATTGCTCATTTTTCACGTTTACAGTTCCAAATGTCCTAGCGACTTCACAATTGGAATCCTAACTAAAATATGGTGGGCGATAATTCGGTAGCTTTGCCATAATTAATTAAATAACGAACTTTATATTCTTCAACTTGTGGAAGTCTTTTGTCATGTTACAGGTTGAAGTATAGGGGATACCCGTTAGTCACCATCACCGGGTAATGTCCCCGCATGTTAATAATCTAACTTAAAAGGCATTCCCTATGAAACATACCCACCTGGATCACAGAACATCATGCAGTGCCATTCACTTGATGTAGTTAGAATCGACAAAGGACGGAAGAGAAATTCATTTTTGTATTTGTCTGGAAGCTATCATTTTTTTAAAAGCCGACAAATGGAATATGTAAATTTCAACTGCTGCTGAATATAATATGCAAATTTTCATTCGGTGCTTTTTTGAAGTACTGAATTACTGCTTGACCACCAACAAAAACCAATTACCTTTACAGTAATTGCTGATAAATTTATTACGTGTTACCTAGTATTAAAATTCAACGAAAAATACTATTTCTAAATATCCTTTTCTTTGCTTTAAAATTTTCTTTGTTTTACCTAAAGCTGTTTAAATCATTTAAGAGGGAGGTCGGGGAAAGTAATCCACATCTTTTATTAGAATACTCTAAATAATTTTCTAATTTTAATTTTCTTTGGTTTTGTAATTCTGAATTTCCTTTTCAATGAAAACAGGGTCTAGGAATTCAAGTTGTGCTGTAGTGCGTTTACTCCACGCACCATTGCCAAATGATGCATCAAATCATGATTAAATGTCGTCTCACAGAAAATAAATACCATCGTATATCTCGCAAAATCTTTGGTTTCTTTTGTTTTTAACTCTACGCTTTCCTCTTTAACCTCGTTTTAAGTTTTCTCTTATCCCTATTTTAAGAGACTCTTCAGAGTTAATAAAACATCTGTCAGTCATCAGTATCAGCGACATGCTGCCCTCGTGATTAATGCGGTGCTTCTTCTGTTTAAACTCGCAATTCAAGCATTCTCCACGAAATATTATTTTTGTCTAACACTTGTTTCTTTATTTGAAGAATCGTGTTTTCTTTGGGTGTAAAATTAAAGATATGTAACCACTCACGACGAAGAAAGTTAAACTATCATTTCTATGTTTCTAGTTACTTATAAAGTTAATTAGCTCTTCACGGTACAAGATGCTGTTAGGAGATGCCTTCACAAGGGTACCGGGATCTTTATACAGGTCGCCAATTTTCATCAGTTCAGAAATCTTCACAAGGATATCCTGATATAAGTATACTGGCGTCTTTATGAAGCTTGCTTCCACCCCCCCCCAGGAAGAAATATGAAGGTGCCGGTTCCTTTATGAAGAACACTGTTGTGAATGTATATACGAGGGGAGAATGATGTAAACACCGGAGTACTCGGACTCTTGGTCCAACTCCGTCGACACTGATTTGAATTTCGAATTTTAAATTGGTCAAAAATATATTTGTAATATAAGAAAAACCTGCCAGTAAGTAAAAAACGGAAATTAAGGATATGAACGTGACATAACGGTGAGATATGACAATCTAAAAGTTCTTGAGTAGGATTCACGTGAGGCATTCACAGAATCAAAATGGCCTTACCACATGATACACAAGTACGGGGAGTAAGTGGGATAATTACAGGTCGTGCTGATACAGAAATGTACAGTAATATACAAAATAGGAAATAATAAATACAAAATACAGAAACATAATGTCAACTGCGAGTGATTCACATATTCCTTAATATGCCACTGCCCGTTTGGCATTATTAGGCGAGCAGTAATTATGATTATAACTGTGATAATGGAATGGCTATTTTCTCTGAGACTTTTATGGAACTTGTACGCTAGTTGGTGATAGATAGCGCATAGCTAAGAAACACTCAGTTCCGACAAATTTTGTTTCAAATGGGTACCACGGACTGTCGAAGATTTGTCTCAGGATAACGTTTCGGGCTCTGTGTGTTTGCTTTTTGTTAGTACGGCATGAAAATGCTCATACATGATTGATATAACAAAGTATAGGGCTCGATATGGTTTTGTAAATGAGTAACTTATTATTAGTAGAGATAACCGGGCAATTTAAGGAGAATAGTAGTTTTGCGCGGCCCATTCTTGTGAATGTTTTTTCTTAACCAAAGCTGGCTGAGCTGCCTAAGGTAGCTGCCACCTTTCTGCAGCGGTATGACTAACAGTATAAATTTAAGAGGTGATTTAATTTTACAATCAATCTGATGCTTCCAAAAACACTTTGCAATACTAGTGATAGGGCGGTAAGATAAGAGACAGAGATTTTAAATTCTTGATATAAAAAATATAGTGATGATGCAATGTTTGAGGAATAAAGGTGCTATAATATAAAAATATTTTAAACAGTATAAATTATTTGATAAAACATAATAATTATACGATTTCGTACTATTCAAGTAGCATAACAGAGAGCTAGTGCTTAAGATTTCTTGGCATTAATATTTCTTAAGGAAAGAAATGGTGCTGTTGAGAATTTTTGCGAAATTTAGTGCATTATTTTATATTTACCTTTTTATTGTACATTCGTGTGCAAAATTGAGAGAATTTACAAATTATGTCTATTTTTAGAAAACTCATTGAATCAAAAGAGCTAATTATGCTGCCGAAGAATTATGCAAATATTCAGAGTCGAATACGTAAGCGGGTCTGCGAAGCTGGGATTCTGGAGGGGGGATATGAGCGCACGAGCGGTTTTTGGTGATTTGTGTGCTCGGTACTCCTTCACGATATTCGCCTTTTTTCTCGCCAAAGTTGGGTAAATTGTATAAAGTATCAGTAAAATGAGTAATCACGAACGTGTAGAGGATGAATTGAGGTAGAGAATTGTCGGCAGACTGGATAAAAATCAATCACAAGCGCAAATGCTACAGAGCTTAGTGTAACGCCGTGTTGTCCCTAGTTTCTGGAAACAGTTTCGGGACTTTGGGTCCATATCGAGAAGACCTGGACGAGGTCGACAAAGATCCACAACGACGAATGAGGATCGATATTTAGCAACTTTAACGCTGCGA